CTTGTAGGAGCGTTCATGTAAATAATGTCTTCGTAGTCAATGAAGGGAAGGAAAGTTGCAGTTACAAGTTGTTTCCTAGCATTCAGAGATCTATTTCTGAAAAAGAAACCCAATTTAACTTTCAGTTTCCTTCTCAAGTTTTCCACATGGAACTTAAAAGAGAAATGCGAATAGACCAAGATATCCAAATATTTATAGGATTTGATAAACGCACTAGGGACATCATTCGAGGATAGATACATAGGATACACAGTGGACACCCGCAAATTATACACTAGCGCATCTTATTTAAGTACAAAACTGTGTTTCATTTTAAATTTAGTATGCGCGGCTTACAGGTGCGTTCTATAGACCAGCAACTATGGTAGTTATATTTAACCTTTTCCCTTTTTAAGGGACTGAAAAGAGTGCAACAAAGTATTTAACTGGGTTGACAACACCTGCGCTGTTGCTGACTAAGAGTGAAGGGTTGATGGAGAAGTAAAGCGAGAGAAGAGGACGGATGAGTGGGATTAAAGCCATGGTGGATAAGAGGAGTCTAATACAAGGAGGTGAGATGGGACTAAAAGAGAGAAAAGTGGGGAGAAGTATTGTCAAAGTGAATTAAGGCAGCAGAGGCTGCAGATATGCCGGCAGGGGAGGAAGAGGAGGGAGTCGTGATAATTAGGCGGGTCACATAATGGCAAGGAAGCCACAATATGCCAGCTGAGTCCAGCGCCAAAGACGTCACCTGCATCACTCACATCCCATCTGGATTGGTGCTCAAGCTTGACCAGCTCTGCTTGAGTGCTTTTGACACCAACGCTGGCCTAACTCACCAAATCTGATTATAAATGGGACACAATCGAAGGCTCAACCGCTTCGTCAAGACAGTCAGGATGGAGGGTGTTGGTTTCGTGTCATGATGGGTACCAGAAAAATCAATACTTTCAATCAAATGTTGACGTTTGCAAAGCAAAGTTGACCTGAAGGCAAAGCTAACCATACCGAACGAGATAATCTCACAGCATATGTTGCGTGCAAGGATGGTCTAACAACGAGGAGTCTTGTTGGGCAGCACTTCATTACCAAGACTCAAATATGCTAGAAAGGTGTGAAATAGAGGGCTGTGCAAGGTTCCAATGCTGATGAAAAGATAAAAAAAAAGATAAAACATTCATCTTCACTCATAAAATGGTAAAAAGTACCACACAAATAATTCTTAGAGATGATAACATTCAAAGTTTAAACTTATTACTTTTGATCTACAATGAATAAAATAAAATATATGTATATAATTTGTGTGCCATCAGAAAGGTGTAGCGTTGTATGTTCTTTTGGTTTACGTCCTGGGAATTATTCTGGTTCTGTTCGGTGAATGTCCCCAAATTCTCCAGAAACACCCCAGAGCAGCTGGTTTGGGCCATCCGGCTCTGGCCAATCAAACTCCCAGTGGGCAGGGATGCCTGAGTGTGTTGCCTAGCAATGACGGCTGGGGGGTGTGGGGGTGTATCTACTTGTATGTGTGTGTGGATGAAGGTGGACTGGGGCGGCGTGTGAAACACGAGAACACAGCAGTCGGTGCAGCTGGCTGAATCTGGCGACGGCACGCCGCCATGCCACTGGCCAATTACCGAGCACGCTGGCAGAGCGCGGAGGCAGTTGCCTAGCGACAGCAACAGTGGAGCTGTACAGGGTGAGAGGCGATTGGGGGTGGGGGGGTGCAGTGCCGATGGTGGTGATAGTGGTGGAGGCAGCAGGAGGAGGAGGAGGGCACTAAGAGACCAGAGCCTGCAGCAGTACATAACCACTCAGCTACCGACTCCTCCAACGATACACTGCTCATCGTTGCCTAGCAACCCCTCCCCCCCACCACCACCACCGCTCCTCTCCCTCAAGATGCCCTCGTACAAACAGGCGAGCAGAGCAGGTACACACTCGCTTGCACAAACACACACTTTCACGCTCCCTGGACTGGAAGGGCTACGTTAAAAATACAGAGCTGCATTCACTGAATGAGAGTTTTCAGCCTAATCCACTGGATTAGGCTAAACTCTGAAGCATAATCTGATTATGCTCCTTTTACTTTTGGATTACTTTGCCTGGAAATGCTATGAAAACAAAAAGAAAAACCTTGAAATGTAGATTATAAAGATTAGTAGATGATTTGCTCTAATTCAAGCAATCATTGTGGACAGTGTTGTTTAAAATAAATAACTTGATGCTGTCCAGGAAAAACACGTGCCAATAAAACACTTTTCTTTCCAAAACATATTTCTCGTGCGCAATTTGATAACTGGGTGTTTCTAGAGTCGCTGTAATCCCATTATGTGTAATCTGTTACTTCCTAACGTTCTCTCCAGCCTGTCAGGTGCCAGCATAGGAAGTTAATTACATTCCTTCCATTAGCTGGAGCCGAAGCAGGGCATCCGGGTCTCTGAGGTCATTATGGAGGCTCTTGGAGAGCACTTTATTGGGACCGGCCAACAGTTTGCGCTGCAGGCTCGGAGACGAGTCCAAAGAAAGACAAACAAGTTAAGAGGGAAAGATGATAAATGGAGGAAGTGATGGAGACATTTATTATAGAATGATGGAAAAGTCCTACATTTATACACAACTAGAACATTTCTGAAGACATTTTAAGAGAGTAAAATGGCCACTGTGTAAGATTTTAACATTAAAGTTGTTAATAACCCAAGCTTTGTAAAGGTGCCTAAATTTTATTGTACTTTGTATAAACTGTTTAAGTTCTGTGGAAAAAATAAAAAAAACGAGATCAAAGTGCATGCAGAAACCAAGACTCAAATGTAAGCTTCAAACAAAGTCAATGTTCAGTCAGGTCATCGGACGGTTTCGTGTTTTTTTGTTTGTTTTTTGCTGAGACGTTTCGTCCTTCATCCAAAGGACTTCTTCAGTCCAAGAAGCCACAAACAAACTGGAGTCCCACAAATACCACACTTCCATAGTGGGAAAAAAAACAAGTTTGCTGGTGATACGATGGTTTCTGGGGCCCGTCCTCTCCCCGTCAACTCCTCAGAGGCAATCATGCCAAAATGGTTCAAAACACCAAAGTTCATGCTCAATAATCCAGGTACAAATCCATACACCATTTTAGGTTGAATATTGAATATTGAAGGTTATTCTCTTTGCACCAGCTCTCCAGGTGTTCCACCTCTTGCCTGTAGCTGGACTCA